GTCTTGTCTTAAAATAGAAGTAAAACATAATCACAGCAAAGTCTTGACTTGGTTCTGCTGGAAATAGTGGTGTGAGTATCAGAAGTCAGGGTTAAGGTCGATGAACGTGGTGTAACTGCTTACAGCACTGGTCAGTGGCAGGGTGGTGCATCAGCATCTAAACTAGTTTTGGGGTTTTTGTTGTCCTATAAATCACCTACCAGGTATTACTGGGTTCCTTCCTGTGGCAGGCTGCGTCCAGATCACCTGCTGTGTCTTCAGTGGTGACACGACTAAACACTGCGAGTTACAAAGAGCCCATAAAGAACCTCAGGGAATAGATGTGGGTTAATCATGCATAAGTGTTTCACAAACTATTACTCCTGCTCTAGCAGAAAGGTGTATCAGATCTGTTGGGTTGCAGGGATTACGTAAACATTGCGGAGACGTGTAGTATTGCTTATGTGCCATCGTAAGTGTGCGTGGCTGTTGCAGTAAGTGCTGCTTTGATATAGGTATGTTATCTGAGGAGGGCAGTAATCTAGTCTGAATCCCAGCACATGGTTGAACTTCTGTGCTTTCTCCTCAAGTCCATAGTTGGGGTTTTTTTCTTTGCTTCTGCACGTGTGCTCAGTGGCTGCATCTGTAAGGACTTGCCTGAGTGAGATTTGGGAATGAGAATCAGAAGTGTTTTCTTGCATTTTTCAACAGATCTGGCTTACTTGGCTAACAGTTTTAAATTGCTGCTTTTTTATGTTTTAATTGAAACAATTGTCATCAAATCATGATCCAAAGCAGAAGCAGAAAACAGCACAACTCCCCAGGTGAATGTATAGCTACAGGTCGTCTGGGTGAGCGAGGCCAGTGTTGCCTTCCCAGCCATCCCCTTGCTCCCGCAGTGCCTGAGCTCTGCCCTGCGTGAATCTGGAAGGGCAGCTTCACCAGTGCCTTTCCCTTGCACGCCTTGCCTTAGCTGGCAAGCCTTGGGGCCCCCAGCATAGCCACGGAGCCACACACCGGCAACCTCTCGGGAATGAGGAAAAGGCCTCACCCGATCCAGGGCTTTCTTAAGGTGTTTTTCACCCCAGCTTCTGCTTCTGGATTTCCACTTTGCGACATCGTTGTGGGTACAGTAACTAAAATTGGCAACCGACCTTAAGGCATTGCTTGCTCTCTTTCCTTCATCCTCTGCCCTCTGTTTCAAATGGTGCTATTTAATTTGATTTGTGTTTTGTTTCTACCGTTGTGTATTTCATATCAAAGTAACTTGAATATAAATCTGCCTGCTCTATATGAGAGTCTTTGCTTGATTTTCACCTGAAAGGAAACGATGCTGACTCGCTTGCTTATGCATTGGTGTTCTCACTTGAAATCATGCAGCTCACTATGAAATATTAGTCTCTGCAATACACTTAGCAAAGGCAGTTGTGTTAGGCTTTGTGTGTCTTTAAAGTAATTGCTAGTTTTTCCTTTTTTGTGCGTGTATAAATCTTAACACTATAGAAGTTGTAGCTTCTGGGAGTCTTAAAGGTAAGTCATCTTTTGGAGCTCACTAACCTTGTTATATGCTGTAATATGGAATGTAGCTCTCAGTCTGTATCAAAAATTGCTATAAACTAATATATTATTAAGAAAACCAAATACAAACATTTCCTCATGTGTTTTTCTTACCCATCTATAAATAGGTACGTTCCATGGATGAACTGAATCATGATTTTCAAGCGCTTGCTCTGGAAGGACGGGCTATGGGAGAGGTAAGTGAAAGGCCTGTAGAAAAAAAAATTCTGTGTATTTTGGGGGGAGGAGGAAAATAACAGTTTTTGAGGCTGCTGGAATGATTCTGTTCTCCATTATGACTGCGAAGCTTGTGTGTGTGTGTGCGTGCTTTAACAAAATAAAAACCTGTCAGGCTGGAATACATCTTAGTAGGAGGAACAGCTAAGCCCTCCACCTGTTGTATCATCAAACAGTAAAATGGTGGTTGTAAAAGAACAGTTAGAAATATGTCTTGTGACAAGTGTTACAATACTTGTAGCATGTTTATTTTGGGATCCAGTGATCTCAGACCCCATAATATTGTGGGTTTAGTTGTCTGTCATTGTCTACTGCCCTGTTTCCACTCCTGGCCACCTTTTGGCTCTTGTCATAAAGCACAGGACTGTGTTTAACATTTAAAGTAGCTGGGCAATGTAATCGAGGGCTGCAGAACTGATAAGTGCTTCGGACAGGTCAAAGGACCAAGCAGGAGTTGTCAGATAATGGGCCCTTCAGTTCTAGCTTTGTAGAAACCCAGTGAGAGTTATTTTCATCTCACAGTGCAGTAAGGAGGTGGCAGATTTGGGGGAAATGGCCATTGGTTTTATTTGAAAAGAAAATTTACGTATCTCTAGGGTGACTTGAAAGAATAGCGAGTTACTGTAGTTGGCTGTGTTAGGTTCCTGAAACTTGGATGTAAACACTTCTTTTCCTTGCCTCATTCCATTTTCCTTTATAGTCAGTCCCTTTTAGAGGTTTGTGGAAGAACAGAGATGAGAAAAATCATGTCTTGTAGAAGGATATTAACGTGCGGCAGGTCAGCTTGATACAGGTCGGTTGTTTTGGAGAGCCTTCCTGTTTGCGTTCCTCTCTGTCAAGTTCAGACCAGTTTATTTTCTCCACGTTCAATCCATCCTGTCTCTGTTACCTAGTTTATGAGCCAGGTTTTTTTTTTAAAAAAAAAAAGGTCCCTAGGACCCCAAAATTGTTGTTTTGGAGACGATGGCAAACCAGGATTATTGTGTGGTGGGATTCATAAAAAGGTGCCCTCCCTCAGGTGAAAGACCTCAGGGAATTCATGGTGCTTGCAGCTTCGCTTCTCTCTTCTCCTTCCTTCTCTGGAAGATTGTAATACTGACTTTCATTTTAATTTGACAGTACTTGATAGGAAAATCTCTGTTTCTCTAGGTTATATTAACCTTCATTGAGACTATTGACTAAGAGTAAATGAAAATGATTTACAAAGGAGAAAACATGACATTAAAATTCTGTCTAAAGCTGCTGAAAAACAGCTGATGTGCCTCCATATGAAGCATGCCAGTGGAATGACGGGGGTGTGAATGTTCTGTGAATGTTATTTTTTTAACACCTCACTTGAGCAAGACGTTCATTTTCAGATCTAGAGCATATAGAGCGTACAGGCTCTTTGAAGGCCAGTTAAGAGTAAGTACAGCACTTGTTTTTAAGTGGCATTAGGTCATGTTAGCTTAAATGCCTGAAGGCATTCCTAAATATGCTGATTTTTACCAACTCTTAGTTTATTTAGCCTTTTCTTGAGAGAAGTGAATTTGGGTTTGGTTTTTTGGAGGATGTGAGGTTTGCCTTCCACTGATGACTCGCCTCTTTTCCCCACTTCTCCTCCTTGTAACAGTGACGTAGAAAGTTTGGAGACTGGCATCCTCTTGTCACTGGGCTTTTCCACATGCTGGTGTGTGCGTGTTTTTTCAGGAAAGGTGACATTTCACCCTTCTCTTAAGGCTAAGATGCTGTTTCTTGTTTCTTTTGGGGTTTTTCATCCTCAGTCCCATAGTTTCTTTTCTTTATCTATTGAATTTTCTCTCTGTTTCCTAAGGTATTTCAACATACATCCAGCTGGCTGATTTAAGGTACTATGCAAACTGATATCCCCCCACAGGATATGCATATTGGTTTTCAAGACCATGTTCTTCAACTGCGGGCTTTGATTTTGTGCAGCATGCCCTCTCTGTTGTTTAGATGCCTTAGCAAGGCACTGTTGGTTTCCTCTCCTCCTCCTGGAATGTCAAGGAAGTTCATGGAGAAAGTCAGTGTACTAAGAAAAAGCTTAAGTCTGAAAAAAATGAGGAAAAGAGCGAATTTGATTTGTATATCTTGTGTCTTCTGAGCCTTACCTGCGCGAAGTGTCAGTAATCTCATACTCAGAGTTGATAGTGGAAAACCTGGAGGAGAAAGATGCGGAGAAGAGTGTTTACACATTTAGTGTATCTTCTAATCTTCTTGTTTTCTTGCTTCTTAGTAAGCAACTTCATCATAATTTTAGTGATTTTAGGAGTTTGTGCCTCTGAAGACATCAGACTTTTTTTTTTTTTTTTTTTTTACAGGGTACTGTCAAACAATTAAATCTCTTATCTGCATTTTGACATCAGGGTAGATAATATTTGGTGATTAACAGATACCCTAATCTGGGAAAATGAAGACTAGTTTTAAAAAAACCCTACAACTTTCATCTGCCTTGTGGCTGTTTCCATCTTCAAAATCCCACTCTCCTCCACTGCAACCAGCCTTGTACCCCCCTAAATCTATGTGTGAATGGACACACAGTACTTTCTCAAGTGTGAGATTGAAAAGAGCTGCAGAAACCCTTTTGCTCCGCTCTAAAATGGAAAAGATTTGGGCCGTTGATAGTGAACACGGTCGATAATGTTGCAAGTAGCCTTCTAAAAGGGGTATCTATTCTCCCCCTTTTTTAGCACTTTGTCCAGGTTGTTATTTATAACGAAGGAGCCTTACTACAAGCCATGTAAGCATAAAGAAATCTTCACTTTTTGTATCAAATGCCCCTTCTCAGCATATGTCGAACTGGGAAGTAATAAAAAGCAATGATGTATAGCAGTTGGTGAGGGAAGGGAATGGTGCTTCAGAAGTCGCACGTAGGGGCCAGTGGGTTTTGCTGCTTTAGCCCATAGACCAGAACACGTCCACGTTGTTTGTGCTGCCTTCCGAGGGCTTTGATCACACAGCAGTGATCCTTATCTGAGGCTTGACATGAGCTATGTGAGCTCTCACTCTTTTTCCGGCTTTCAAGACATAGGAGCTGGATATCTGCTTTTCTTTGCTTAAATCCCTTTCATCTGTATTTTTCAATATTGAATATTCATGCAGTATCTTTTTGGGATGGTGGACAGCGCAGAGAGACTGTGAGGTGGTGTTTGCCATCAGTGCATTGCATGCATTTTGGACTGCGGCAACGTTCTTGATTTGGTAGTAGGTTATGCTGTGAGATAAGCCTTCGTCTAGAATAAAAGAGCAGCTGGGTGAGTAGCTAGCTGTAACTTAATCCGGGAGGGTGGGAGGAGGATGGGAACAGAAAGACATCAGGCAACTGGTAGGCACTTAACTTCAGAAATGGAAGGAATTGGACCAAAAACCAATGAATGGCTGGGGTAACACTGAATCTCACCCTACTCTTGAAAAGAAATGCTGGTAAGAAATATTTTCTTGTTTTCACCTGATGAGAATTTAATTCTTGCTCTCTGCTGCTGTCCACTGTGGGTGTTAGCTCTGGAGCCCATTGTAGGTGTGACTGGCCAAACAGCGAAATTGCCACAACCCCCGGCGTTCATTGTAGCAGATCTTTTAAACAGTAAAGGCTGAAGTGATAGGTGGTTTACCACGTCTGCATTTGTCCGCTTGATGTAATTGGTTCTAGCCTAGATAAGTCCTTGCCTCTCCAGTGACCAGCGCTTTTTTCTTTAAGCAGAGTGGTTGTGACACCGGGCCTGGGCATTCTTGTGTCTGGTTTAAAAAAAAAAAAAAAAAAACAAAACAAAAAACAAACAAACAAAAAAAACCCAAACCAACAACAAAACCCAAACAAAAACCAAGCAAAAGAAAAAAAATCCCAAACTCTAAAAAAACCCCCTCACATGACTGCTTTCCCTGCTAATGATGCCTTTACTGTGTTCTCATAAATTTATGATTCATTGGCAGCTGGACTGGGGAGTATTGACAGTTTTGAATAACGTTTCTGTTCATTTTTTTTTTTTTTCTCCCCTTCAGTTTATCTAGTGCTAGCAGCATTAGAAATGGGAGGGCTGGAGCCCTGTTTGTGAAGCGTGCTGGTGCCACAGCAGCTACGCTGGCACGTCTGGGTGGCTTGGTGCAGGCTCTGAGCACCAGAAGCAGAGCAGGAACTGAGCAAGAACGCACTAGGGGACGGCGAGGTGGCCGGCTGGCCGCTTACGGCTGCGGGGCCAGTGAAATGCGGTTAGACTGCTTGACACCTTGCCATCCTGCCAAGATGGAGATTTTGTTGGGGGTTTTTTAACCTTCCCCACTATATTCCCAATAATATGATCCTGCCCCCCCCCCCCCCTTTTTTTTTTTTTTGTCCTATCATACCCTCCTGTGAGCCAGTTTAAGTCCCTGAGCTGGCAGAAAGCTGCCTGTCCTTTGGGATGGGAGAGCAAAAGCCGTCCTTGTGGCCGCTGTACAGCTTCCACTGGTGCTCCCGCTGGGATTGCTTGTGTGTGCTCAGCCTCCCTATCTTGTTTGGTTTTTTTAGATGGCAACGTTTTTTAGGGTAGATAACATCTTAGTGTTTGTAAACCTGCAGTGCTGCCCAAATGTGACTTGTAAATACACGCTTTGCCTTCTCCTACCTGTTGCTGCAGATAAAGTGACTTCCCCAACTGCACAGATGGCTTCTTTTATCTTAATATTTGCCTTGTCTGAAGGGAATCAGTTTACTTAATTTGTCTAATTCATAATCCCATCTCAGTGGGATGTATATGCACAGGCTCTGTACTTGTTGGTTGTAGAATTGCTTTTGTTGATGTGTAAGTCATCCCCTCCCCTCCTCCCTGCTCTGCTAAATTGAATATTGGCCTAGCTCTGCAAACGCTCTGTAAGAGGGCTTAGAAGGATTATATTCATACTAGATAGGGTCAATTTTAACAAAAACTGGGGAGCAAATAGACAAGTCTAGTTCTAAACTGCTGCACGTTATTTTTTTCAATTT